GAGAGAGAGAGAGAGAGAGAGAGAGAGAGAGAGAGAGAGAGAGCGCACGCGCACAGGGACAGGTTGGCTGCAGCAGGAAAAGTGCCCTGTTTAAGCCTCGCTCACCGCTGTAATTGCCTTAGGGGATTTATTGGCTTTGTGTGCCCGCCCTGCACCCTCCATAGCCTCCCTCTGGTGCCTGCCCTGGCTACGGGGCTCTGCTGGACCCTGGGCAAGGGGACCTGGAGCTCTAAGCAAGGCCTGGATGTGCCAGCTGGAGAGTGGGTGAGGCCTCAGTGAGAGGCCCCTGGTGGAGGTCCAGCCCCTCCTGCCCTGTGCCTGGCAACCTAATAGAAGGGGGAGAGTGGCTGGAGCACCCCAGGAGGGCTCCCAGACCTCTGGGGCTCTGAGGTGTCCAACCCATCTGGGGTGCAAGATGCAGAAGGGACTCTGGGGAGACTTTTGTGGGCCTGGGGCCCTGGTTTCTCATCCTTCTCTCCCTCCAGGACTCTGGTCTCCCAACATCTGCTGTGTCTGCCGTGGGCAGACCTCTACCCTTAGTTGTCATTAAAGCTGCACTCCCTCCCTCCTCCCGTAACTCCTTCCCCCATCTGCCTCACAGCAAGGTCTCCCTCAGGATGATCCAACCCTCTGGTTTCCAGAACCTTCCACAACCTTCAAACTTTGTGTCAATACATTGGCAAACTGCTGCAGGTTTTGTAGTCAGGAGCTCCCAACCGTGCTCCAAGCCCTGCAGAGTGGACTCAGGAGGCAGGGTTGATGGTCAGGGATGTGACCTTTAGCAGCATGTGGAACCAAGTTTCATCTCTTTTCCCATTTTTGGCAGTGTGGTCTTGGTCAGTCAACCCAACCTCCAGAGCCTCAGTGACCTCATCTGTAAAATGGGTCTGACAAGGGCAGACTTAAACAGTTATGGTGAAGGTTTCATACATCGTAACTTCATGAAATGGCCTTTATTTGATGACATTTGTAAACATTTTTGGGGTGAAATATTGCATAAACAAACTCTGTTGTTGATAAGATTTCCACTCGGTGTCTACACTGTTTTTTTAAATTTTTTAAATATTGTCTAGTTGGGCTGGGGATGTGGCTCAAGTGGTAGCGCGCTCGCCTGGCATGCGTGTGGCCCGGGTTCGATCCTCAGCACCACATACAAACAAAGATGTTGTGTCCGCCAAGAACTAAAAAAAAAAAATACTAAAAAATTCTCTAAAAAAAAATATTGTCTAGTTGTCAATGGATCTTTCTTTATTTATATGTGGTGCTGAGAATTGAACCCAGTGCCTCACATGCTAGGCAAGTGCTCTATCCCTGAGCCACAACCCCAGCCCTGCACTATTTTTTTAATACCTTCAGTGTTTGATATTTGTATAAATGCTACCTAATAATTAGAGAATTGAAGTAATACAGGAAAGCACAAAGAAGGAAGCAAACCCCAAAACAAAGTAACAGTAAGTCTCAACTGCACCTTAATATTCTCAATATTAAATTGTTATTAGTGAATAGCCACCATGACAAAAATCTTTTTGCATTAACAGAAGTTTAGGCACAGATTGACAGGACTGTTTCTATAAGGAGGGGTCTTCGTGAAAACTTTTAATCAAATTTATTAAATCTAATTTTAGTCTATTTAACAAAAGAAAATGAAAGGAAGTAAGCCTGAAGGGGACCCTGGCTCCAGCGAAGGTCTCTTCTTCACGGAGATGTTTCTAGAAAGATCGTGTGACGTTAACGAAATGTCACCAAAGAGAACCTGTGATGTAGGAAGATGTGTTAAGTACATAACAGATGAAAGTGGCTAAGTTAGCAAATTGAAGAGAGACAGCCAGGCTGAGAAAAGGGAAAGAAAAAGAAATCATGCAAAAGATAAATAAAAGGAAGAAAAGACTAGACACCTGGGGGAGAAGAAAAGGAACTGGCAGGACTGTGGTTCGCATTCTTTCAATCACAAGGTTCAACAGGGGTCTTTGGTGGCATGGGCCGTGGTCTAGATGCATTCGTGACCTGTGGCCACTGTCCAGCATATCAGGTGGAAGGGAGGGGGAAGCGGGGGCTCCTTGGCCACTGGGAGCCTTGCATGCAGTTCTAGGACCGGCCCCCTCTCCGAGGCCCTGCTCCCCCTCCCAGGCAGCGCCCTTGCCCTCCAGTGTCCTCTTGAGTCACCAAGTGAGGCTTCCTTTTGCAAGGAAGCAAAGCAGAAAAACAGACAGACAGCAAGCCCCGGGAGGCCCATGAGCAAGGTAGCCCTGCTCGGCCACCCTCTAGGGCAGGGCTGCACACACCTGGGCCCCCTCATGTCCTTACTCTCATTTTCTGGGCTCCTCCATGTCCCTTGATGCCTCCCAAGCTCAGGCCCAGTGCCCTCCCCAAGCTCATGCAGGGAAACAGGGTCCTAGCCACTCCCACACATTCACAAAGTGACCCGGAGCACTGCAGGAAGTCCCACTCACTCTGACTCTAACCTCCCAACAGGCTGGGTGTTATTATCCCACCTCCCAGACGAGGTCAGGGCAACATGAGGTCAGGGGAGAAGTCCCACAGTTTCCTAGGGCTGCTGTCACAAGTTAACACAAGCTGGGGGGCTTAAGACAGAGGCCAGGGGCCTAAAATCACCAGTCAGTAGGGCCCTGCTCTCTCCAAGCCTCTGTGGGAGCTTCTGATGCCTTTGGGTGCTGCTGGCAATTCCTGGCGCTCCTTGACTTGCAACTGCATACCTGCAGGCTGTCAGGCTCACACGGGTGCAATCAACCCCAGACTCAAGCTCTGAATCTCAGCCTGAGTGGCCTCTCGTCATAAGAAGACTCACGGCCAGCGAATGGCCACTTCGTGCCTAGGAGGCCCCTCTGGTGGTCACAGAACTGGCAGAGCTACAGGTGCCACTGTGCTGATTAGGGACACTGCCCCAAAGGCAGCTGGGGTGATCTTGGGTAGGTTTCCCTCCCACTTCCCTGTTACCCATGAGAACAGCCCGGGAGGTCAGGGCCCTAAAAAGTGGGGAGGCAGACAGGGTCCTTCCCCAGAAGGACACCTGTAGAGATGCCGCATAGTCATTTCTGCCCAAGGGTGGCAGCCTGAACCTCCCCTCCCCGATCTACAGGCCCAGGCTCCCCATCCTCGGAATACAAGAGAAGGTGCCGGGGCTCACCCACCTGGGCCCACAGGAACTTCCTGCTGGCCTTTCCAGAGAGTGAGGAGAAGGCCCAGGTTCTTCCTTCCCACTCCCTCTCCTTGAAATGGGAGGACTGGGGCCAAGACTTTGTTTCTGCCTGTGGGAGAAACTAGGGAAACCGTTGTGACCGCAGAGGACACCTTGGGGTTCAGGGAGGGCCTGTAGGTGGCAGATGGGTCAACTCTGCTCCCAGACAGGAGACCTGGGACCTGGAGGAAAGGTGGCAAGTGGGGGAGAAATCATCACCAAAAGTTCTTCCAGGTCCCTCTGTGTCCCTCCAGCCCCCTCCCTCCCCTCACAAAGAAAAAAAAAAGAGAGAGAGAGAGAGAGGACATGGGACCAGCAGGAGATGGAGGCCAGACCGACTCTGAGCTGCCTTCTTTCCCTGCAGCTGGAAGTAAACCTGTGAAGTGCTGAGAGTACGCAGGCCCCTCAGAGATGTCGTGTCTTGAGCCAGGTGCGGTGGCAGGCACCTGTAGCCCCGGGAGGCTGAGCTTGAGCCTGGGTGACCTAGCAGGATGCTGCCTCTTTAAAACAAATGAACAGATGCTGCTTCTCTGTCCCTGACCCAGACTCAGAGGGGAGGAATGCCCAGACCTGCTGAGGATGGTGGCCCTCGGCCAGGCAGGTAGGTGTGAATGTGAGAGATGGAAGCCTAATGGGCCTCTGTGTGGAAGGGGAGTCAGCAAAGAGGACAGACCTCAAAAACTGGGCTGAGGTTGAGGCCCAGGGGACAGAAGCAGCCTCTAGCAGGGAGAGGGCCATTTAGCACATGCGCAGGGTCAGGCTTGGGTCCAGGTGTGTGTGTGTTGCGGGGCAACCCAGGGATGGGACAGACAAGGCCTGCTGCCCTGCTGCCCTGCTGCAGTAATGACCAAATTCACAGCGGCAGGGGGCTCTAACTGGTTTGTGGAGATTTGAAATAACTTAATTTTCCCAGGTACTGCCCAGGTACTACCCTGTGCCACGCTGGTGAGAGATCCCCTTCCCAAGGTCAGGTTGGATTCAGAGCCAGCTCTACCCACAGCTCTAACCGTCCCCCTCTGGGGGCTAGCCAATGAAATCAGTGTCTGCCTGGATTCCAAGTCTTCTCCCTTCCCCCAGCTCAGTCAAGCTTCCGAAGGTCTGATTAGGGATGAGATGGTGAGTAGGGCTCCCTCCTTCACCCTGGGTTCTCTGGTGTATGGTGAGAGGAAGGAGCACCGGGCTCTGGACTAGCGTGGGCCAGGGGGTCCCGTGGCAGCTCAACTGCTGTCTAGCCAGGCAGGTGCAGCGCCCACGGTCCCAGCCTCCCGCTATGGAAGGCTGGCTCAGGGCTGCCCTGGGCACCAGGCTTGTTCTAGAAAGGTCCTGCCTTGGTTTAATGCTTTGCTGTCTCTGTCTTGAAAAATCTTAAATGTTGGTCCAGAAGCCCTGCATTTTATTTGCACTGGGACCCTCACAAACTCTGTGGCTAGTCCACCTGCCCGACAGGTCTATTTTAGCAACGTGCCACCAAAGGCACCAGACCATTCTGGGTTTTGTTACCCCATACTTCAGGGTTCCCAAAAGCCTGAAGCCACTGGTCTCGTTCACACTTGGGGTCAATTATGGGATTGCCTTCTGCAAATACTGAGGGACCAGGAGCCTCACAGTGGGGTCTAGACGTCCCCTCCCCACTTAGCAGTCCTCACCACACCTCCACTCCAGGAATCCCTGGCTGGTCATTGAGCCTCTGGCCACAGTGAGCTCCAACTGGACACTGAAATGCCATCCTCTTCCTCTCGCCGGAGAATTCCTTGACTCCTCTGCGGATCCAGCCCTCCTGCCCACTGGCTGCAGAAGTGGAGGTAGGGGTTGTGCTGCTGCAGAGGCTTCTCTCCTGCTCACTTGGGAAGAGGGGCTGTGGGGACCTGCTGGGTTCTGACAGGGGCCTTGAGCCCACCACTAGGGAGAGGTTGGAGGCCCACTCACCTGGACTGGGAGACACTACACCCCTCAAAACAGGCAACATCCTGCCATGTAGAAAAGACTGTTCTGTGGAAGGTTACATGATAGAGAATAAGAGGAACTACAGGGACAGCGACTCTCTCCATCACATCTTGGGGCAGAAGCAGAGAAGGAACACGTGTCCACAGGTTTAACAAGATGACTTCATAAGGTATGGATCTAGATGCGATCTCAAGAGGTGACCTGAGGTGGAGGATGGAACTGACCAGGACCTGGGGGTGAGGTATTCACAGAGGAGAGGGCGGGAGGCCCTCACATGAGAACAGGAAGTGGACAGAGGAGCCAGAGCATGCAGGGGTGGGGTTTGGGCAGAACTGCAATCCACGCTGCCCGTGGCAGTGACTGGGTTCTTACCTTGAGTCAGGGCAGGAGGGATGGTAGGCAGAGCCCACATTTCCTGGTCTTGCTGCGTCTCTGACCTTCTACCCTGAAGAGGAGTTTTGGCAGAAGGGAGGTGGGGAGGCAGAGGCAGGGCAGAGGCCCACATGTGCTCTGCTGGGGTCCAAGCAGCCGAAGGGGCAAATGCAGGCTGTGTTGAGCTCACACCCTCTCTGCCACAAATTTGAAGATCATGGATAAAAAAAGATACCCTGTAAGATAGACAGAGACTCAGGTGATTATGAGTGATTTCCAGCATTAAAAAACCCTCATAATCCAAACCTAAACGGCTTTCCCCGACATTCCTGATGGGGTACTTTCTTCAGGAAGCGTAGTGATAACTGGGGAGGGATGAGGGACACATATCCTAGTGTGTGGGGAGATGTTGACAGCGCTCTGCTTCTCAGGGTGCACTGATTCCTGCGCTTAAACGCTCCCACCAAAGTGGCCCTGGGCTTGCCAGCACTAACTGGGGTGCCAGGTGTTTTTCTGGCCCCGGGCTTTTTGCAGGACCAAAGGGCACACCCTGTCCCAGGTGGTGACTCCATTCCAGGAGAGCTGCTCATTTGTGGCCCTTCCTGACAGATTCCCTCCTGCCAGATCAGGGTCACAGCAACTGAGAACAATGCTGGACAGGCTGAGCAGGCAGGGACAGGGGTCTGGGAGAGCGTCAGAAGCTGCTGGGGCCCGTGCTCCCCGAACTGGGCCACTGTGGGGCCTTTCATCTCCCGCTTTCCTCTCTGGGCCACTCCAGTGCCCCCCGCCCTTGCTTCTTCCCACCCCACCAGCCCCAGCGCGGCAATTACGGCGTTAATTAGGATGCTTTGATCATCTTTAGAAATGGCCACACTAGGCAGGGACGCTGCCAAGCAATTAGGGGCAGAGGGGCTGCAAGCTTAGTGGCTTCCTCAGGGGGTGGGGCTGCTGGGGACCCCCAGACCCCCCCTGCCCTCCTCCCTTCAAGAGTATCTGCCCCCAGCATAGCTGTAGACTCCTCAGGGGGCACAGGCAGATGGGGATCCCCCCTCCCAGCCCCTGCCCACCAGCCCCCCTCTGCCTGGCCCCGGGCCCAACCGTCAGCTCTTCTCCCCTGTCTCAGCCCCTTTGATGGAGCCGCAGAAACAAGGGCTCCTTTGACAGAAGGGGGGCTCAGAGCCGGAATGATGAGGCTTCAAAGGTGAGGGTCGAGCCCACTACCTCATTCCCTCCCCCAGTCCTGGCCGCCCTCCCCCTTCTGTCCTCTATATAGCCCCCACAGCCCCATTTCCCGAGGGCTCCTAGGAGGTGAGGGCCAGGTGAGGCACAGACCAGGGGAAGTGGGGAATTTTGATGTAAGGAACAGGGTCAGATGATTTGAAGGACAAAAATTCTGTGCCCAGGGGCAGAAAGGCAGTGGGAGGCAGACAGGACAAGCACGGGCAGGGTAGGCCCCAGAGGAAAGAGGACGGGGTCTCCTGCCCCAGCTCCTGGTCACCATGCTGCTGGCTGCGCTGCTGCTGCTGCTGCTACCGCCCGGCCCAGACCCCTGGTCTGCCTATGGGCACCCACTGTACATGCGCCTGCCCCCCAGCACCCTGCAAGGTGAGCCTGGGCTGGTCTGGGGGAGCGACTGAGGTGGGAGGGGCATAGAGGAAGTAGGGTTCCTGGTGTGGAAGGCAAACTTGTCACCCCCCTCATCAAGGCCTTTGGTGACTTCTCCCCACCTCCTGAGAGAAGGGGCCAGGAACTGAGATACAGAGAGGAGAGGAGGAGCAGATAGGCTGGCCGGGGAGCAGAGCTGGAGAGCGATGCCAAAGGCCTCAGGAGAAGGCTCCAGACCTAGCAGACAGCAGGAAAGCGCTGCAGAGCGCTTGGGCTGTCTGGGCCCAAACGCGGGCAGGTGAACCGTAGCCGCTTCCTGTCGATCTGCCTGATTTCTGGGGTATTTATATCTTGGGGTGATGGTTTTCCTCCTATGTTTTTAAGGACAAGTGCTTTTGAGAGATTCCAATCAGTTTATTTGAATTAAGGAGATATCTCGGGCTGAGAATCTGAGACCATCTGCTTTGAGGCTTGGGCCTGGGGCCCTGGAGCATTTCTCCCCCCCCCCCCCCCCCCCCCCCCCCCCCCCCCCCCCCCCCGCCCCCCCAGGCCCTCTGGGAGCCCAGACTGCTTCCCTGTGGTCCCCCAAGGCAGGGCTCAGGGCTGGGGCAGACTAAGACTCTGCCCCAACCATGCTTAATTTTGTGTCCATGTCCCAGCAGTTCTGTCAGCCCAGGGGACCCAGGCACTGCAGGCTGCCCAGAGGAATGCCCAGTGGGCAGTGAAGCGCGTGGAGATGGAGATTCAGCACAGACTGCACACCTGCAGAGGTGGGCCACTCACACCCCTCATTACCCTGAACTGCACTCATTACCCTGGGTTCTCTCTGTCATCCCTCTCCCTTATCTTCAGACCCCCCTCTCTTGGGGGACAGACACTGCTGGGGCTGGAACCACACTACTTATAGAGTTCTCTCCAAGTGGAAAGGGCATACCAGCTTGGGGCGCAGCATATGGAAAGGCAGGAGGTGGGAACAGGCTGGACTCACCTGTGACTGGTGAGAGATTCATGGCTGCTGAGAACCTGTGGGCTAGCAGGTGGGGTGCAAAGCGGGTGGAAGAGCTGAGGGCGCTCAGGCCCTGCCTAGGGAGGAGGAGCCACAAGAGGGTGGCAGTGAGGTTCAAAGGGCTATTTCTCAGCAGGACCTGGACACCCCAGGCCTCAAGCACCCCTCCTCCAGGACCCACCTGAACCAGGTGAGGCTAAAAAGGCTCAGGGGGCAGGGCAAAGAGCAGGGTGGGCCTCTACGTGAGGACAGCTTGAAGTTGTCCCTCACGATGTTACTTCTGCCTTTCTAGGGTCATGTGGTGAAAGGAGCCCTGGAGCTGCCAACGTGACGCGGGCTCATGGACGCATAGTGGGGGGCAGCGCGGCTCCCCCCGGGGCCTGGCCCTGGCTAGTGAGGTTGCAACTCGGCGGGCAGCCTCTGTGCGGCGGTGTCCTAGTGGCAGCGTCTTGGGTGCTCACAGCGGCGCATTGCTTTGTGGGGTATGTTGGTGTTCCTTGGCACCTGCAGACCTAAGTCCCCAACCGGGACTTGCCGGAAGACTTGAGAGAGAGCCGGTCTCTGCTGCCCCCTGGCGGAGGCCTGTCCAGGTTCAAGGGGCCGGCACTAGACAAGCCAGCATGCAGACCCCAGCCCAGGGCATTGGCCTTACCTGGAGGATGGCCCTCCCGCCTTCCCTACCCCCCCCCGCCCCACCCTGAGGAGGATCAGCCAGGGTTGCTGGGTGGTGCGGGTGCGCTCGGTGAGGGTCAGGAGCTCCAAGGGGCCTCCTCCGTCCTTGTCCTTGCTCTGATCAGCCCTGCTCACTCTGCAGCGCTTCGAATGAGCTTCTCTGGACTGTGGTGCTGGCCGAGGGGCCCCGGGGGGAGCAAGCCCAGGAGGTGCCAGTGAACCGCATCTTGCCCCACCCCAAGGTGAGAGACCAGTCCCCAAGCCCGGAGCTGGAAACAGGACCCCAATTCCATGCTTCCTTGACATTGTGTTACTCCCTCGTCCCATCCCAGTTTGACCCACAGACCTTCCACAATGACCTGGCCCTGGTTCAGTTGTGGACACCAGTGAACCCCGCGGGTCCCGCGCGTCCCGTGTGCCTGCCCCAGGGGTCCCGGGAGCCCCCAGCCGGCACCGCTTGCGCCATTGCAGGCTGGGGAGCCCTCTTCGAAGGTATTGAGCCGGGCAAGGCCGGGATGAACCAAGGAGTGTGGGGGAAGAATGAGCTCCTAGGGGATGGAGTTTGGGAGGTCAGAGTGTAAAGGCACACGGCAAATTATTGCCCAGTCTTAAGGGAAGGAATCAAAGAGGGCAATGGGAGGGGCCCCCAACCCTGAGCCCCTTCCCTCTTCGCTGTAGACGGGCCTGAAGCTGAGGCGGTGAGGGAGGCGCGTGTCCCCCTGCTCAGCGCAGACACTTGCCAAAGGGCTCTGGGGCCTGGGCTGCGCCCCAGCACCATGCTCTGTGCCGGTTACCTGGCTGGGGGCATCGACTCATGCCAGGTATGAGCCCAGACTGATTGGAGAGCTTGGCTTGGGTGGCTTCACAGGGGCAGGATGGCCTCCTTTCCTCCTGGAAAACTGCTGTCACTCAGTTTCTCTGAGCAATTATGTCCTTATAGCTAAAATGGGTACAAAAGAGCTCAGAGCAGACAGACCCTTCCAGGTGTAAGGTGGGCAAAGGGGGTGGTGGTGAATGAAGTGAGCTCTTCCTTTTGGAGCTCTCTCCTGTACCCCAGGGTGACTCTGGAGGGCCCCTAACCTGTTCGGAGCCTGGCCCCCACCCCAGGGAGGTACTCTTTGGAGTCACCTCCTGGGGAGATGGCTGCGGGGAGCCAGGGAAACCTGGGGTCTACACCCGTGTGGCTGTGTTCAAAGACTGGCTCCTGGAGCAGATGAGCGGTGAGCGCCCCCTTCCAATTCCCTCTCCCCACAGTGCCCCACGGAACCGCCCTGGGACAAGTCTGCCCCCTCCTCACCCTAGCGTTGGTCCCCAGCTCCCAAAGGGCTGCACGGAGGGCTGGGAGCAAACACAGGGTGATCTGGCCTCTGTCCCGCCTGCAGCGGCTTCCTCCACTCGTGAGCCCAGCTGCAGGGAACTTCTGACCTTGGACCCGTCGGAGGAGCGACTGGCAGACGCCGCCCGGCTCTGTGCCTTCTACGCCCGGCTGTGCCCGGGATCCGACGGCGCCTGTGCGCGCTTGGCTCACCAGCAGTGCCTTCAACGCCGACGGCGATGCGGTGAGTCGGTTCCCCCGGCAGGGGCAGCGCCTGGGACGGGAGGCCTGGCCACCTCTGACCGCCACTCAGACCCTTGTCCTTCCCGCAGAGCTGCGCTCTCTGGCGCATACGCTGCTGGGCCTGCTGCGGGGCGCCCAGGATCTGCTGCGCCCTGGGCTGCGGCGTCTGACCCCCGCCCTGGCTCTCCCCGCTCTGTGGCTCCGGCGGCCTCCCCGGCACCCCGTCCTTGAGCAGCGGCTACACTCAGGTACCCCGCGCCCTCCAGCCCCGCCCCGGCCCTGGGCCCCAGTCCTGCGCGGCGGAGCTGCTTTCTCCAGCTGAGGAGGTCCCCTAACCCCTAACCCTGCCTTCCCCAGGATCCAGGGCTACGGGAGTGTGGTTCCAGAAGCCGAGGTCAGAGCAGCGCGGGGCGACGAACAGTAAGGACGCCCCCGGCCGGCCTTCCCGAGGGGTGCAGCCCTGGGGCTTCAGGCGGGGAATTCTGTGCTAGGAGGGGTTCCCCACCCAGCAACGTCGCAGGCTCTCTCTCCCCTTGGTCGCGGTGGGGCGGACGAGTTAAGCGGAGAATTATGGCTTTGGGTCCTCATCCGCGTTGCGTGGCTGTTTAAGCTCTCCGAGCCTCAGCTTCCCCACCCGTACTGAGCAGAGGATGGCTGCCCCCGGAATCCTGACCCTGGGCGGGAGGCGGATTCCCTGTTATTCCAGGGCCTCTCCCCTCTGTGCAGGCTGCCCTGGGCTGGAGCCCCTGAGACAGAAGTTGGCTGCCCTTCAGGGGGCTCATGCCTGGATCCTGCAGGTCCCCTCAGAGCACCTGGCCATGAACTTTCAGGAGGTAGGTCCCCAGGCTTCCTAGACTCCTTTATGGTGACGTGGGAAGGCTGGCATGATGCGGGCCCTGAGACAGAGGGACAGAGTCCAGCCCTGACAGGTGGAGGAAGGAGGGACATTCACCCCACTGCAGGAGGCAGAACCCAGCCCCCAGCCCGGAATGCCCCTGCCCCGCCCCCAGGGGGACCCAGGGAGGTGGATGGGGGACCACTGTGTGTGCGCTGGGGCATGGTGGGTATGAGCAGAGGGAGTGGAGAGGCTTGGGGTGAGGGCGCATGGGGGTGCCACTGGGTAGAAATCAGCCAGGCGTGAGTCTGGTGAGTTTCGGGGAGTCCAGGGGGACGGGGGGGGGGACTCCCATTGCCGACTTGGGCCTGGGTTTCTGGGTCCCTGATCACCTCTTCCTCTTCAGGTGCTGGCAGATCTGGGCTCCAAGACACTGACTGGGCTCTTCAGAGCCTGGGTGCGGGCAGGCCTGGGAGGCCGGCGCGTGGTCTTCAGTGGCCTGGTGGGCCTAGAGCGGGCCACGCTGGCTCGAAGCCTCCCCAGGCTATTGGTGGAGGCCCTGCAGGCCTTCCGCCTGGCTGCCCTGGCAGAGGGAGAGCCCCAGGAGCCCCAGATGGGTGTGAGGCCGGACCCAGGGCTGGGGAGGAAGGAACAGCACACACTCCACCCTCAGGTTCCCCCTGCCAGGCAGCCGTGGTGAGGACCTGCTGCTCCGGGGCTCAGGGAGGCAGGAGTCATCGCCACAACAAGCCAACAAACTCACCGCCCCCTTTGGCACGGGGCCGGTGGGGTACTGGGTCTTCCAGGAGTGCCATCAGAGAATTGCCGCTGCTTTAATAAATGTTATTTATATTCTGTGGAGACTATTTGGAGCTTTCTTGGCTGGGGAAGCAGTGGGTGGGCATTAGATCTGGGGTGGGCAGAGTTTCTGGGAGCAGTTGGCAGAGATCATAGAGAAATGGGAGAAGAGGCTGCTAAGCCCCCGTCTGAGCATGCACTCTGTCTCCCGGGAGGCGGCAGCTGGCCTGCCCGTCACACTCCCATCCAAGGCTGACTAGCGTCTCCACCAGCCCCTCGCTTCCTGCTCCCCTGAGAGTCCTGGCCTGGGATCTTAGCCTCTCACTCCTGGGCTCCGGCCCTGGCCCTGGCTGTCCATCCCCACCCCCTCATCACCTGCCTTGAGGTGTCAGATTGCATTTCCGGCTGCCTCTTCCCCTGCGCCCCCACCCCCACCCTGCACCTGTCCCCTCTGCCTTCTGCCCTCATTCCACAGCCCTGCAAGGCACACACAATCAAGGGGACAGGATGGAGGGCCCTGTGCTGACACTGGGGCTGCTGGCCACCTTGGTGGTGTGTGGTAAGGGCATCACCCCACCGTGGGGTCCCTCGTGCACCCACCTGGACTCCCCCTGCATGGCCCCCTGCTTGGGATCATGCCCAACTCCCACTCCCACTCTGCCATCTCTGCCTGGGAGGGGCCCACCTCCAGGGTCCCCGTGCCCAGGAGGTGGTTGGATCCCCTCTGTTCAGCCCAGCCCGATGGCCCAACAGGATCTCAGGGCTGCTTCCTTCCTGGGCCCCCTGCCCAGTGCCCGGTTGCCATCCCTGGCCCTCCCCAGGCAGCTGGGGCCTGAACGAGGAGGAACGGCTCATCAGGCACCTCTTCACGGAGAAGGGCTACAAGAAGGAGCTCCGGCCCGTGACCCGCAAAGAGGAGAGTGTGGACGTCTCTCTGGCTCTCACTCTCTCCAACCTCATCTCCCTGGTGAGAGGCCCCTCCCGGGCTGGGCTGGGGAAGGGGGGTAGCTTCTCCAGTGCTGGATAGCTGTGGAGGCAGCTCACCGAGGGCAGCTTCCCTCCCTGGACACACACTGTCACCCCCAAGCCCTGTGTGCTTCCAGCACTCCAAGCCTGGTGCCCCTTCCCCTCCAGCTTCAGTTCTGTGGCCACCATGCCGCACCCATGACCTGCCCTCCTGCTCCCTGGCCTGCCTACCCACCCCTGGGGGCCTGGCTGCCAGGGTTCCCTGGTTGCAGCCACATGAGGTACCGGGTAGATGTGTGCAGCAGGTAGAGACATGTCCCTTTGACAGACAGCCCTCCTGTCTGATTCCAGAAAGAAGTGGAGGAGACCCTCACTACCAACGTCTGGATAGAGCACGTAAGGAGAACGCCCCCCTCAGGGCCAGGAGTGGGGGTCCAGGGCCCAGGGTCCCCTGTGCTCTCTTCCACTAGGGGACCTCCAGTCTGCCCTGGATACTGTCCTCCAGAAGGGCTTAGTGCCTCCCTACAGAGAAACTCCAGGCCCAGATGCCCTTCTCTCCCACCTAGACCCCTGCTAGCTCTGATGGCAATTTCAAGAAGATTAGAATGGATCTTTGGGGAAATTGTCACTCTACTCTGATTTTTATTACAAGACACTCTTAATAAAAGTGTCAGAGCTGTCAGAAGTTCCTAATACAGAGACAAATAGGAAATAATGCTCCCTACATTGTGCAGTGCACATTGTATACAGCTGTTCGTGACAGACCTGAGTCCTCACTTTTTACCTGCCTCCCTCCTCATCTGCCACAGCTCCCAGGTCCTGTTCAGTCTTTCCTGGTGGAAGTGGGAGTGATGAGGAAGGCTGGACAGCAGCAGAACCCACTGCTGACATGCTTTTGGGCTTCCAGGGCTGGACAGACAGCCGGCTACAGTGGGATGCTGAAGAATTTGGGAACATCAGTGTCCTGCGCCTGCCCCCTGACATGCTGTGGCTTCCCGAGATTGTGCTGGAGAATAAGTTGAGTGGTGCCTCTCTTTCCAAGGCATTCTCCCCCTCTCCTCCAGCCCCAAGTTCTCCCCAACCCTGCCAGGTCTGAGCTTGTCAGTGCTCACAGTGACATGTGTCCCTGTCCCCAGCAATGACGGCTCCTTCCAGATTTCCTACTCCTGCAATGTGCTGGTCTACAACTCGGGTTATGTGTACTGGCTGCCCCCCGCCATCTTCCGCTCCTCCTGCCCCATCTCTGTCACCTACTTCCCCTTCGACTGGCAGAACTGCTCCCTTAAGTTCAGGTGCGTCCACCTCTCTAGCCCCTCACCGCCCAGGGCCCCCTGGGCAGGCTGGAGGAGGTGAATGATCAACCCCCCTACCCACAGTGGCCCTCTGTTTTAACCCTCTCACCTCACTGGCCCACTGTAGCTGCAGGTCACCCTCTGTCCACTGCTCTCCCCAGTTCACTCAAGTACACGGCCAAGGAGATCACCCTGAGCCTGAAGCAGGAGGAGGAGGATGGCCGCGCTTACCCCGTGGAGTGGATCATCATCGACCCTGAGGGCTTCACAGGTGCTGGGAGCAGCTCAGGGTGTGGGGAGGCCCCATGACACACACAGGAGTAGACCCAGACCCACCGACACCTCTCAGCCACACACCTAGGACTCTGACGCTCACGACAGACACATCCCACCCCTGGAGGACCACACACCCCGTATCACACAGGACACCCAGCGGCAGAGCTGAGCGGGGACAGCCTCTGCCCCACCCAGGGCAGAATACTCTTCTGGGTGCAGCAGGGGTCGCTGAGGACGGGTGTGGCCCACAGGAGGGGTGGTTGGTGGACACCCCGGGGGTGTGGTGGGGGAGTGGGCTGTGACACCTGATGGGGTGACTGTCACCCCCACCCCCTGTCTGTGACCAGGCTCAGATCTATGGGGCCCACTGCTTACCCCTGACCATAGGGTCCTGCCCATCTCAAGGCTGGGACATCAAGGGAGGCCCTGCTACCCTCAAGACCCAGGGGGAGGAGAGGCCGGGTTGAGGTCAACTGAGTTTCCTTTTGACATGCGCAATAGCGGGGAAGTCTCTTACTCCAGCTGCACAGTCTAGCTGAGACTCGCTCCTTATGGAACTCTGTTTGGCCTCAGCTGCAATTTTTCCCAGAGGGGAAAAAAACAGTCACAGAGGAAAACGTCCCCTGGGGACAGACACCCAGCAACACAACCTGAGACCTCCACGCCTCCCCACCTCCGACCCTGCACCCCGGGCCCCTCACTCCACCAGCTCTCACCCTGCCCCTGAGGCCCCAGGCCCTGGGACCCCCCACCTGGCCTGATCCCAAGGTGTCAATGTCCACCCTCAGAGAATGGGGAGTGGGAGATAGTGCACCGGCCAGCCAGGGTCAACGTGGACCCCAGCGCCTCGCTGGACAGCACCAGCCGCCAGGACGTCACCTTCTACCTCATCATCCGCCGCAAGCCGCTGTTCTACGTCATCAACATCCTGGTGCCCTGCGTGCTCATCTCCTTCATGATCAACCTGGTCTTCTACCTGCCGGCCGACTGTGAGCTCCCCGCCCGCCCGCCCACCCCCAGGCCCCTGAGGCCTCTGGGTGAGGGCCTTCCAGCACTGCCCCCTTGTTTCCCCCGGGGCCACGAGGTGTCACTCCTGGAGGCCCTGCCTGGGGCACCCGGCCTGAGGGCCAGGAGGCCAGCTGGGGGAGGCCCACTGAGAGCAGTGCCCAGGGCAGGGGCCCGGGGCCCACTCTGCCTCTCTCAAGAAGCTTTCCAGGGGCCCCGGGAGAGTGGCCAGGCAGAGACCAGGCCTGTCGGGGTCACTACTTTGGGCCTGGCATCCAAGAGGCCACAGCTGTTGACCCATTGAGCTGGCCAGGGGCCTCTGGGAGGCTGGGATGCGGGAGCAGAAGATCGGCCTGGGCTCATGTGGCTCCAGGAAGCAGTAATTTTACAATTTCAGGACATTCACCATGAGCCACCCAGTGCCTGCCTGTGGCAGATGGTGAAGCCACAGGCCTGGGTGGTGGCCCTACTGGGGGACCATTCTAAACGGTGGGGGGGTAGGATTCCCGGAGGAGGTGGAGTTTTGCTGACAGGACCATGTGGGAGCAGGTGCAGGGGGGAGGGGCGGGGCTGGGGCACATGTGACCCTCCTGCCCAGGAGCTCAGGTGGGAAGGGCAGGGCAGGGCAGTGCTGGCTGGGTCCTTGCTGGAAGGGTGGCATGTTGGGTGTCATCGTGTGCTGTGCGGATGTCCCAGAGCTTTCTGAAGGAGGGCGACACACGCAGCTCTGTGATTCAGAGGGGTAGCGGGGTGTCCGGGGCTGGGCTAGCAGTGATGGTTGGGGGTTTGCAGTGCTGGGGATGGAACCCAGGGGGGCTGTACCACTGTGCTACACCCCCAGCCTTTTTTTTTTTTTTTGAAACTGGGTCTTGCCAGTCTCAAACTGGCTATCCTCCTGTCTCAGCCTCCCTAGTCACTGGGATTCCAGGCAGGTGCCATGGCACCTGGTGACAACTAGCATCCATTCAGCACTTGCCTGGTATTGACACTCTCGTGAGTCTTGAGAAAACAGGCACGAGCAGTTAGGCTACTTGTTCCAGGCCGCCCCACCAGTAAGTGGCAGAGCTGGGATCTGAGCCCAGGCACTGCAGAGCACAGCCTGATGTTGACCATGGCCTTGTGAACAGTGGTGGCAGAGCCCCTGTGGTGGGCGCTATGGCTGGAGGTCTCGGGTTCCAGCCAAATCTGGCTCCCCAGGTGGCGAGAAGACGTCCGTGGCCATCTCGGTGCTCCTGGCCCAGTCTGTCTTCCTGCTGCTCATCTCCAAGCGGCTGCCTGCCACGTCCATGGCCATCCCCCTCATTGGCAAGTGAGTGGCCCACGCCTGGCTTCGCCCACTCCTGGCCCGGCCCTGTGCGCGGCCGCCCCCAGGCTCCAGGCTGCCTGTTGCCCACAGGTTCCTGCTCTTTGGCATGGTCCTGGTGACCATGGTGGTGGTGATCTGTGTCATCACCCTCAACATCCACTTCCGAACACCCAGCACCCACGTGCTGTCCAAGGGCATCAAGAAGGTGAGTGTTGGCC